GTAAATAAAAGCCTAAAAAAGAAAACATGTACATGTGTTTCAATGATGGCGGCTGGAAGAACTAGGCCGCAAACTGGGGCAACTATGTGTAATGTCCACAACTATGTCCAGATAGATATAAAAACATAAGAGTGCTGAGCTTGAAATATCAATAAATCAAATAAAAATAAAAGTCCAATTCACATGTGATGAAGATGAAAATAAATCTCTCTTCACTGGGACATCAATAATGTGATATATGCTTCAAATTTGATCATATAATTGTCTGAATTACAGTTTGCTTTTGGGATCAATTCAGTGGATGATCATCCACTCACTATTGGGGGGACAGCTCGATCCTTTTGGAGCCATAAAGCGTCCAGATCTCCAGCTTTGGTTTTTGGGATTCCTATTGCACATTTTGATCCGTCCAAAATTTGGGACCCATTTGGTCTGGTAAGAGGCAGAATTTTTGGGTGTTGGTGATGGTTGATTTTTTTTTTCTCATCTTCATGATCAAATTTGAAGCATATATGAAATTATTGATGTCCCAATGAAGAGGGATTTATTTTCATCTTCATCACATGTGAATTGGACTTTTATTTTTGTTTGATTTTTTTATATTTTTGAAGGGCCGCACCCTTGTGTTTTCATTATTATATGTATTGTCACCTGCATTACCGTGGTGGCTGCTCATATTTAATTAATTTATCAATTTATCTATATTAAGCAGATGCCTATATACTATACCGCAGAGTTGTTAAAATATTTTTCTATGTTCAGGTAGATACCAGATGTGATGAAATTGTCAGTGTTCACTTAGTTAGTGGGTGTATGGGACTTTCTCACGTGCAGCTGGCTTCCTTAATGTCCTATTCTCCAATGTTACGGTGCCCTTCTTTTATAAAAGACTGTGGATCTCAGCATTCAGGAAAGCAGGACTCATGTTCTCTAGTTCAGCACCACACCCTCTTGAATTCTCAGAAGGAGAGGTTGCATAATAAAATATCATGGGATAGGAGGCTGCAGTACCACCCTGGATGTTCAAAGTATCTACTTTACTTTGTGACTTTAAAGTCCACTTCTGGGCACAGTCCATTTTTCATGTGATCAAGTCTCCCTGCCCTTGCACAGGCATGTTGGCATAGCATTTCATTCCCGGGTACCACTAACAGGCCTTTTGCTCTAGTTTATTGAGTTAGCGTGAGTCCCTGCTCCTGAAGGGTGCAATTAAAGTGTAAAGTCACCACGCATGTTCATCATCATGCTATGACACTTCGCCATGCATTTTCCAAAACTGAGCCAGGTACCGGTTCAGATTAGAACAAACACAAGGAAGAATCCAGTAGGTTGTCAATGCTTTACTTCAGGATCGATGTGGCAGGCAAGTTCTCATAATTCTGGCAGAGGTTGTCACTACCTTCCCCAGGAGGGTCATGCTTGTCCTGTCCCGAATACTACTCTTACTAGGGTAACAGGGCCTCTTCAAGCATTCCCTGGAGGGTGTATGCCTCAAATTTCCTGGGCTACATAACTGTGAATAGGTCTTCGACCAGTTCCATCAGGGCCAACTTCACACCCTGCCTCCTGTCTTGCCCAAACTCCCTCTGTTCTCACTATGCACAGTATTTATAGCAAGTGGTTGTAAATCTCAGACATGAAATATGAGCAAAGCATATCCCTCTATAGTGTGTACTTGTCTCAATTAGGAGCACTGAGTGTCATTCCTCTGCTACTTTGTTCTTCTGCTATCAGCATGAATCACTTCTGGCAAATTTTCCTGACACCAAGAGCAAAAATGGTGATGGGAGGGATCTATAGTACACAGCTGTAGCTCTGTTCCTGTGTGCTGTGTGAAGGGAGGTGTGTTCCTTCCCTCCAATCAGCTATCCGAGCTCTCCTCACTGAGCTCTGCAGTGTGTAATTTCAGCTCTCCGCACCCTTTTTTTGACAGCTCAGAAAAGGTTTGTAAATTCTGGACTTTTAACAGATCTAGAGAAGAGTGGGTTGCAGATAAACAAGTACAACTTATCTGTGTATCACATGCGGTTAGGCAATTGGAGATATATATATATATATATATATATAAATAAGTATTTGATCCCCTGCTGATTTTGAATGTTTGCCCACTCACAAAGAAATGATCAGTCTAAAAATCGAATGGTAGGTGTATTGTAACGCTGAGAGACAGATCAGCAACAAAAAATCCAAGCAATGCATTACTAAAAAATGATGCACTGATTTGCATGTTCATGAGGGAAATAAGTATTTACTCCCCTGTCATTCAGCAGGATTTCTGGCTACCAGGTGTCTTTCATACAGGTAACAAACTGAGATTAGAAGCAGTCTCTTAAAGGGAGTGCCGCTAATCTCATTTTGACACCTGTCCACAGGAGCAATCAAACAATCAGATTCCAAACTCTCCACCATGGCAAAGACCAAAGAGCTGTCCAGGGATGTCGGGGACAAGATTGCATGACCGCAAATTCCAGCCTTGTGTAGGTCTACAAAGTACCCATATGAATTTTTTTGAGACCGATAAAAATTTAATTGGTGGTATTTATTCACCACTATGATTTTTTTTTTGCTATATAAATGAAAAAAGTCCAAGCATTTTGAAAAAAAAAGTGTTTTTTTCTGATAAAATTTTGCAAAGAAATAATCTTTTTTTATAAATCTTGGCCAAAATGTATTCAGCTATCTTTTTAGTAAAAAAAAAAATAACCCAAATTAGTTTATAACCAAAAATTATAATTTTTCAAAATGTATTTTTACATTTTTAGTTTTTTTTTTTTTTTTTACATACGGTCACCCTAGCAGTACAGTGACACTGTACTACTTGTGGGGGGTGATGAAGATTTTTTTTTTTCTTTTTGCTGATTGCTTTTACACCCATAAAGGCTGTAAAAGCAATCATTCTCTCTGACTGCATTCTTGCCGCCATTGAGAAATACTGTGAGAGCTGTGATTGGTCACAGCTTGTCACATAGTACAAGGCTGTTGTGAATAGCCTTGAACCATGTGATCTCTGTGATCATTCACAGATTTCACAAGTAGTAAGCAATGATGTCAGGAAGTGACATCTTGCCTACTGCTATTCATGTGATCACTGATTGGCCAATCGGTGATCACATGAATCGGGACCTCACACAGAAGTCACATACAACAATAAGTGCCGTTTTCTCTTGGTGTCCTGAAAACTCATCATGCTTATTGCAGTGAACTGAGGCAGCAGACAGAAATGACGCTTAGGGGCAGGGCTTTTTTTCAGCGGGAACGTGGGGGAACACAGTTCCGGCACCTACAGTTCTGAAAATATGTAATGGGGCCCTGTGGTGTGCTGGAAGATCTATTGTTGCTGGCTGTTTGGGAACCTATTGTCACTGAAGGGGATCTATTTTTGTGTGGTGGTCTATTGTTGCTGGGGATCTCTATTGTTGCTGGGGATCTGTTGTTGATTGGGTCAATTGTTGCTGGAAGAGATCCAATGCCGAGGGAGGGGTCTATTGCCTTGTCTATTGTTGCTGGCTGCTGGAGATTCTATTGATGCTGGCTGCTGGGAGATCTGTTGTAGCTGATGGGGGTCTATTGTTGCTGGGGTGTTATTTTGTTTTGGAGGTCCATTGTTGCTGGAGGAATCTATTGTTGCTGGGGAAGGGGGGGTCTATTGCTGCTGGCTGCTGGGAATATTTTTCTGCAAATTCCATACAAATTATTTAGCTCGGTATTCTCTAAAAGGAGAGGTACTGGGAGGTAAGTGATTCAGAAAGGTTCCTGCACCTATTTTTTGAGAAAAAAAGCCCTGCTTAGAGGGTTATTTATTAAAACTGCATAGTGCAAAATATGCATAGAAACCAATCAGCTTCCAGGTTTTATTGTCAAAGCTTAAATGAACAAGCTGAAGCTAAAAGCTGATTGGCTACCTAGCACAGCTGCACCTCATTGTGAGTGCACCAGGTTTAGTAAATATCCATCTCAGCGTTCTGGATTGAGACAAGCACACACTATAGAGCACATGTGTCAAACACAAGGCCTGCAGGTGGCATCAACAATTTTATGTGGCCCTTGCACCGCTCCTGAAGCTGCGGCACCCCCTTTATTTTCCACCCCGACCTTGTCTCAGCAGCAGATAGGACAGAACTCCATCTACAGAACCTGCACTTCTCCATGCAGATGCGGAAGAGCTCGTCTCTGCTTCCCCATCCCCTCCCATCTCAGCAGTAGGCAGCAGAGAGGACGACAGAACTCCTCCTATAAATCCTCCTCTCTGTGCAGCCGCAGTCCCTTCTTGTCTCCGCCTCTCCTGGTCTCAGCTTTTTTCAGTTGACTCCAGTCCTCCTCTGGTCCTCCTCCAGACCCTGCACTGTCTGCTTCCCAACTTCTTCCCAGCAACAGAACAAGGTAAGGGGGTGCACTGTGATGTGGGTCAGGGACTCGATTTCTGATGGAGGGGGGGCTCTTAAAATCTGATATAAGTGGAGGGTGGGGTACTCTGCACATCTAGTCTTACTGACAGGACCGGTGCTTCCATTAGGCAAACAAGGCGGCCGCCTAGGGTGCACTGCCACCTAGAGGCGCCTGGGTGCAGCACAGGCCAGCACTCTCTGTGTGTGGGATGCTGCAACATCCTGGAAGATGCCAAGTGTCAGTGTGCCTCTCAGACTCAGTCCCTTACTGCAAGCTGGCTGGTGGCTGCTGATCACTGTGGAGTTCCAGCCCTTCTCTTCCCATTCATCAGTGGAGGCAGAGCTGCGCCTGCGGAGGAAGGTAATGTCAGACTCTGATGTCTCTTGTCTGTGTGAGTGTGACCCGGCCGGCCAGCCATTCGTCACATGTGCAATGTGTCAGTGAGTGATGACATCCCAAAACTTGCTCTACTAGTGCCTGCTGATCTGTGTCAGTGGTGGTGTGTTGTGTCAGATCTGTCACTGTGTGGGATCGCTCAGTTCAGGTGCCTGCTGTCACAGTGTTTTATCTCCCCCAATTGCCTGGGGATTTCCAGCCTGGGATTTGTCAGAGTGTGGATCCATCATCCTCTACTCACTGCAACTGTCACCCTGCCACTGCCAGCCACAGATACAGTCCGTCCTTGACACTGATTTTGTCTTTAAAGTGTTACTAAACCCAGAACCCTGCATTCACTATATCTGGTCTCCCTGGACCCCACATTCACTATATCTGGTCTCCCTGGACCCCGCATTCACTATATCCGGTCTGCCCGGACCCTGCATTCACTATATCTGGTCTCCCCGGACCCTGCATTCACTATATCTGCTCTCCCCGGACCCTGCATTCACTATATCTGGTCTCCCAGGACCCTGCATTCACTATATCTGGTCTCCCAGGACCCTGCATTCACTATATCTGGTCTCCCCGGACCCTGCATTCACTATATCTGGTCTCCCCGGACCCTGCATTCACTGTATCTGGTCTCCCCGGACCCTGCATTCACTATATCTGGTCTCCCCGGACCCTGCATTCACTATATCTGGTCTCCCCGGACCCTGCATTCACTATATCTGGTCTCCCCGGACCCTGCATTCACTATATCTGGTCTCCCAGGACCCCGCATTCATTATATCTGGTCTCCCCAGACCCTGCATTCACTATATCAGGTCTCCCACAGTACGCACAACATGAAAATGCAATTATTATAGCAAATATAAATTGCTAAATACCTTCTCTCATCAGCAGTTAGAGCAGTCTTGTGCCTTCTATCAGTGTCCAGCAGAGCACTAGCTAAAGCTTGTGGGATGAGCTTTATTTCTGCTCTAGGAGGAATGCAAAACCCCTGACCTTCTTTCTGGCCAGTGCTGATTGGCCTTGTGCTGATCACATGCACTCTTCCAAGAAAAAAAAAAAACCTTTCTAGCAATACACACCAAACTGAGCAGGTGGACATCTGAACAAGAGGAGGGGCAGAGAAAACAGAATCAACCAGCCTTTTTACACAATGCAGAGGATTGACCCCTTAGGTTCCACAGTGAGTATAACAAGCATGTTTACTGCATATACAGACTGATATTGGTGCAGGTGGCATCCATGACACTTATTTTTTCAAATTAATTTTTTGGGGAGGGGGGGGCGCAAGTAGCTGGTCTTGCCTAAGGCTCAAAAGTTTAGCACCAGCCCTGCTTACTGATACTGACTGACCCTTTGAAGGTAACCATAATGCTGATGCGGCCCGCAATAAAAATTGTGTTTGGTACACCCCCCCCCCTCCCCCGCTATAGAGGGATATACTTTGTTCTTCGTTAAAATTTGAGGTATACCTTTCACATAAACCAATTCATTTACACATATTAGGATTTTTTTTTTTTAGCAAAGACGTGTCGCAGAATACATTGTGGCCTAAATTTATGAGGAAATGTGATCGTTTAAATTTTTTTTACTGCACATGTTTAATAGCAAAAAGTCAAAAATATTGTTTTTTTTCTCAAAATTGTCGGTCTGTTTTTTACAGTGCAAAAAATAAAAACGCACAGGACTTCTTCACTGTTCATGATTATGAACACAAATGGGACTATTTATATTTTCTACACATTTTTTTGTTTAATGATTTATGGTTCATATTGGTGCTGGTGGCATCTTATGGCCCTTATTTTTTCAAATGAAAGAAATGTAGCAGTTCCATGTTTTGTATATATTTTGTTTTTTTAAAAAATTAATTTTTTTTGGAGGGGGGGGGGGGGGGGGGGGAGTGGCGCAAGTAGCTTGTCTTGCCTAAGGTGCAAAATAGTCTAGCATTGGCCCTGCGTACTGATACTGACCCTTTGAGGGCAACCATATCTCTGATGCGGCCTGCGGTAAAAATGAGTTTGACACCCCCCCCTCGCTATAGAGGGATATACTTTGTTCTTAATTAATATTTGAGGTTTATAACCACTTTATTATTATTATTATACAGGATTTATATAGCGCTTTACAATATAAAGGGAGACAATACAGCAACAATACAGATCAATACAAGAGGGATAGGAGGGCCTGATCCCGGGAGCTTACAACTGCAGTATTTCCAGAAGGACATTGGCAGTTCACTGATTCTGCTCACTAGCTGAATTTGTGTTTTAAACAGCGGCAGTCGACGGCACTTGCTATGGGCTGGTCCTTCCGGAAAAATGGTTCATTTATGACTTGTTTGCACAGTTCTGTCATTGGTAATATCCTTACTGCAGACCTGCAAGGGAGCGAAGGTGCTGGCAGATCTCTGTAGCAGAGCAGGGAATGATTCCAAGATGAAGCTGCAATCTATGTCCATGAATGAATCGCTCAGTCCTCAAACAATTAGCACTAATGCATTACAGGGCAGATTGCAAACGTGCCAGCAGCAGACGCAGGAGTGACCTTCCCAGCCTACGGTTTTTATTGCATTCATCAAAGCCTCACCCTTTCTACCGCAAAGTAAAAGTACAGCCAGGGGGAAGGGGAAGACGTTGGAAATAGGTTGACCAGACTCCCAGAATTCACTGCGGCAGATCTTTAGGAGATTGCGTCCCTATCTGGCAGAGAGCAGGGTCCGGGGAGTGGTCCTGGCACACAGTTCTGGGTAATATAGCAGGGCAGCGAGGCTGCATTGTACCCTCTGGGCTTAACGTGATGCTCTGCGACAGAATATGACATTTATCCTTCCCTGATGAGATCTAAATCAGCTGCCAACGCTGACCCCTCACTTGCTGAATGCTTCTGTTCTTCCCACTGTTTTGTATCAGCAAAAGTTTGAACCGGTACTGTGCAGCTGACAAGACTCACATTAATCTATGAGCGACCAAGCTGGGGCCGGGGACATAATCAGAGGTTGGGGAGGAAACCGGCATACTATGCCTAGCATTCAGCTTATACTGATACTAAAATCAGATTAGAAACAAATATATTCTATTCAAGTTTGTTTTCTTAAAACAATTTTAAAACCAAAACAGTATAGGATTCAGCCTATACTGATACTAAAATTATATATATATATATATATATATATATATATATATATATATATATATATATATATTCATTCTATTTAAGTTTGTTTTCTTAAATCAATTTTAAATCCAAAATAGTACAGCATTCAACCTATACTGATACTAAAATAAGAAAAAAAAATATGTATATATATTCATTCTACTCAAGTTTGTTATCTTAAATTAATTTTAAACCCCAAACAATAAAGCTTTCAGCCTATACTGATACTAAAATTAAAAAAAAAAAAATATATATATATATATATATATATATATATATATAGTTGCAAGAAAAAGTATGTGAACCCCTTGGGAATACGTGGAGTTTTGCATGAATTGGGCATAAAATGTGCTCTGAACGTCATGTAAGTCACAACAATAGAAGAACACAGTCTGCTGAACATAATACTACACAAATATTAGATGTTGCCATGGTTTAATTGCACATAACATGTAAACATTCACAGTGCAGGGAGGAAAAAGTATGTGAACCTTTGGACTTAATAACTGGTTGACCCTCCTTTGGCAGCAATAACCTCAACCAAACGTTTCCTGTAGTTGCAGATCAGACCTGTACAATGATCTGGAGTCATTTTGGACCACTCCTCTTCACAAAACTGTTTCAGTGTAGCAATATTCTTGGGATGTCTGGTGTGAATTGCTCTCTTAAGGCCATACCACAGCATTTCAATCGGGTTGAGGTCAGGACTCTGACTGGGCCACTCCAGAAGGCGTATTCTGTGCTGTTGCAGCCATTGTTTTGTTGAATTACTTGTATGCTTTGGGTCATTGTCCTGTTGCATCACCCATCCTCTGCGGAGCTTCAGTTGGCAGACAGATGGTTGTACGTTTTCCTGCAAAATGTCTTGATAAACTCTGGAATTCATTTTCCCATCAATGACGACAATCCGTCCAGGCCCTGGGGCAGTAAAGCAGCCCCAAACCATGATGCTCCCTCCGCCATGTTTTACAGTGGGGATGAGGTTTTGATGTTGGTGTGCTGTGCCTTTTTTTCTCCACACATAGTGTTGTGTGTTCTTCCCAAACAACTCAATCTTGGTTTCATCTGTCCACAGTATATTTTGCCAGTAGTGCTGTGGAACATCCAGGTGCTCTTTTGCAAACTTCAAACGTGCTGCAATATTCTTTTTGGACAGCAATGGCTTCCTCCGTGGTGTCCTCCCATGTACTCCATTCTTGTTTAATGTTTTCCTTATTGTAGATGTGTCAACAAAAATGTTAGCATGTGCCAGAGATTTCTGTAGGTCTTTAGCTGACACTCTGGGATTCTTCTTTACCTCATGCAGCATTCTGCGCTGTGCTCTTGCAGTCATTTTTACAGGACGACCACGCCTAGGGAGAGTAGCAACAGTGCTAAACTTTCTCCATTTGTAGACAGTCTGTCTTACCGTGGACACATGAACATCAAGGCTTTTGGAGATACTTTTGTAACCCTTTCCAGCTTCATGCAAGTCAACAATTCTTGATCGTAGATCTTCTGAGAGCTCTTTTCTGCGAGGCATGGTTCACACCAGACAGTGCTTCTTGAAACCAGTAAACCCAAAACAGGTGTGTGTTTTTAAGGGCAGGACAGCTGTCAGCAACACATCCAATGTTATTACACTGATTGGAGTCAAGGTTGGCTCACTCTTGGCTCCAATTAGCTCTGGGAGAAGTCATTAAGCTAGGGCCTCACATACTTTTTACTCCCTGCACTGTGAATGTTTACATGTTATGTGCAATTAAACCATGGCAACATCTAATGTTTGTGTAGTATTATGTTCAGCAGACTGTGTTCTTCTATTGCTGTGACTTAGATGACGTTCAGAGCACATTTTATGCCCAATTCATGCAAAACTCCACGTAATCCCAAGGGGTTCACATACTTTTTCTTGCAGCTGTATATATATATATATACATTTTTATTACAGTATAAGTTTTTTTCTCTTTTTTGACTATATATATATTCATTCTATTCAAGTTTGTTTTTTAAAATCAATTTTAAACCCAAAACAGTAAAGCATTCAGCCTATACTGATACTAAAATAATAATAATAATAATTAAAAAAATATATATATATATATATATATATTTTTTTTTTTTTTTTCTATTCAAGTTTGTTTTTTTTAAAGCAATTTTAAAACTAAAACAGTATAGGATTCAGCCTATAATGATACTAAAATATATATATATATATATATATATATATATATATATATATATATATATATATATATATTCATTCTATTTAAGTTTGTTTTCTTAAATCAATTTTAAATCCAAAATAGTACAGCATTCAACCTATACTGATACTAAAATAAGAAACAAAAAGTATGTATATATATTCATTCTACTCAAGTTTGTTATCTTAAATCAATTTTAAACCCCAAACAATATAGCTTTCAGCCTATACTGATACTAAAATAAATAATAAATAAATAAAAATAAATATATATATATATATACATTTTTATCACAGTATGTTTTTTCTCTTTTTTGACTCTCTCTCTCTCTCTCTCTCTCTCTCTCTCTCTCTCTCTCTCTCTCTCTCTCTCTCTCTCTCTCTCTCTCTCTCTCTCTCTCTCTCTCTATATATATATATATATATATATATATATATATATTCACTCTATTCAAGTTTGTTTTCTTAAATCAATTTTAAACCCAAA